CTGAGGACCTGAGGCCAGGCGCAGCAGAGAAATCTCGGCACCGAGGTCAGGACCCGAACCAAGGCCTCTCCCTCTAGGACCTCGGACTTGCTGGTCCTGAGATGCAGACACCAAGCCAGTGTCCTGCCGAGGTCACTGAGCTCCCCCAGCCCAGGCATGGCATGGAGCCTGCTCTGCTCTTTCTCTGGATCTCTCACGCCTCAGGTGTCCTGGCTGTGACTCAGCTCTATAAACCTGGGGTCGCACCTCTCCTTCCATTGTTACCTTTGCTTATTTTTTTTTTTTTTTTTTTTTACCAGAAAATGAACTCAAGGCCTTGTGCTGGGCAGGCAGTTGCTGTGATGCTAAGCTACACGCCCAGCCTTCCCCGTTTTTTGAGACAAGGTCTCACTATACAGCCCAGCCTGGCCTCAAAGTCATGCTAATGCTCCTGCCTCAGCCTCCCCAGTGCTGGGATTGCTGGCGTGTTCCACCACATGCAGCCTTACCCTGTTCACCCTGAGCTGGGGAAGCACCCAGCAGGATTCCTGGGACTCTCCTTCATGCTGGGCCTTCCCTGTCCTCTCCAGGAAAGAGTTGTCCTCCTCACACACACCCTTGTGCACTAGTGGAGTCCGGAATGAGGCTCCTCCAAAGATGTCCCTGAGCAACCTTGAGTAGCAAAAAGGACTTTGCAGTTGTGGTGGCTAAAGTGAGGTCTGTGGTGGGGAAGTCTCTTGCATGGCCCCTCCCTTCCTCTCTCTCCATGCCACCATTTGTTTATTTGTTTGAGGGAGTCTCACCATGTAGCCCAGCCTGGCCTCAAAGTCATGATCATCCTCCTGCCTCAGCCTCATGAGTGCTGGGATCACAGTGTGTGCACCAGGTCAGCTGATGATAGTGTTTAAGGGGAAACCTGACAGGGATGAGAATGAGACCTGATTGTTTGCACTGGCCTGGGAAATCCTTGGGGGCTTAGGGTCCAGTTGGAGTGACTTCAGTGCTCCCTGCTGAGCTGCACCAAGGCCCTGGAGGGACTGGAGGGAGCCCAGGAGGAGCCAGCAGGGGTGCGGATGGGGGAGGGAGCTGGGAGGATTCACAGAGCACAGCAGGCTTGTGCTCTTGCCTGGTACTTCTGGTGAGAGGTGAGCCCTGCAGTGTGTGGTTGTGCCCAGGTATGGAGATACTTCTGGGGCTTCCCTGAAGAGGTGGGAGGTGGCAACTGTGATGGACCCTGCCGGGAGGGCCCTCGGTCAGGCCATAAGTGTCTTGTTGCTGCTCCTGCCCTGGCCCTAAGACTTCACTGTCCCTGGGGGGAGCAGGGAATTTGTCTCTCTCTCAACACCTCCCAAAGATGATTCTGCTGATGGAGAGTTCAGGGGAGTTTCTCTGTGAGGCGAGATGCTCCTCAGGTTTATTTCCAGTCTTTGTTCATGTAGAAAGGAACTGGCCAGCTCCTCAGGGAGTACGAACTTCCCAGGCCTCTTTTCTCCTCCTCCTTCCATTGGCCACGAAAAATTCAAATACATCAGAAACAGACTGTGGACAGATGATCAGCCACTCAGGGTTGCAGGCTGAGGCGCACCGGGCCAGAAAAAGAAATCTAAGTCCCATCTCCGGCGTCCTCTCATAAAGACATTGAACCTAACCACTGAGTTTGACTGGGTTCTGTCTAGCTCCGTTTACATACAGAGTCATGGAAAGAATCAAGTTTGTGAACTGAGGCGCCGCTCTGGGGGTCAATTACGTCATGGTTACTTCAAAGTCCGACTCGACTTCCTGGCCATGTGAAAAACAGGTTCATGACCACTGTCCATGGCTGAGGTCATTTTCATTCAGCATGCTGCCACAACTTGGACTTTTCTTGATAAAGACAAAATCACCTCTTCTCATCCTTGAAGTTTATATGGTGTACAGCTGCAGCCATGGTGATACATAATCTCTTCTGTTTATTGAGAGTCCCTCGGAGGGATAGAAAGGGACCCAATGGGGTTGGAGCCTCAGGCTCTAGATCTGCACATGTGATTGAGGATGAGACAGGAAGTCGCAGGATTCGCAAAAAGATAAGGGAAAGTGAGGCTGTGGCCTTAAATAGGCCCTGCGGGGACAGAGAAGGTGGTCTGCAAACTTCTCTCCAGACCTGGAGCAGCGCTAGGTTAGAACTCTCTCTGCTTGGCTCTGGGCTCTGTCTTCCACATGCTGACGACGTCTCTGTGCACACAGGGGACATTTGAGGATGGTGACGGAGCCCCTGGGAGGTACACCTGGATGTGACCACTGCCTGGCCTCTCCCTGGGGCATCGCCCATCTGATCCTGTCCAGCAGCAGTCCTGTCCATCAGGACAGAGAACCCACTGCCCCTGGTGAGGATGGGCTGCTGGTGGCCCTGTACCCTGTCTCTTTCGTCACAGGGCTTTAACATGCAGTTAATCTATGCATGTGGTAACCAGAATTTGATGCCTTGGCAGATATTTTTCCTAGCTGGAATCCACTTGGTGAACAAAGATGTTCAGAATGAGTTTCAGGGAGAGAGTCTCCAAGAAAGAGGACCCTCAGAAAGGACTGTCCCTAGTGGAGGGTGCCGGGGTCAGCACACAGGCAGCCCCACAATGTCCCTGCCTCGGGGCTCAGGGTTGGCAGAATCCCTCCCACCAGCGCCCTGGTTCCCGAGGTCACTGGGTTTGTGTTTAGAGATGTGCACTCCATGCCTGTGATCCTGGTGAGTGAGAGGCAGAAACCAGGCTCAGGGAATTTGCAAGTTCTCCTTTGGTTCCTGTGTGCAGGTGAGCTGAACATGGATATGGGTTCCAGCACCACACAGGGAAACACAGACACACAGGACAGACACACGCACACTCACACTCACATGTGCACACACACACACAGGCACCCGGATGCACGCACACGGGCACACACAGAGGCTGCACTCATCCTTTACCTCTGGCAGGCAGGCAGGGGTACGCTGTCCCCAGGTGGACCCCAGCTTTGTCCCTGTGCACGCAAGCAGCTCTGAACCCCTGAGTCCTTGCCCGTGGAGTGAGGTGAGGCTGGATGATGCTTTCTCCTCAAGGCTGTCGGGAGGATTACACAGGACCAGTTCTGGAAATATTAGTACAACTAGTTGCTATAAATGTGGTAGAGAAGCTTACATTTGTGCTGGAATCTAAAATTCCTTTTCAACTTTACTGAAGTAAAACTGATAATAATAACTTCATATATTCTGGGTATATAGCTTGAAGGATTTTGTACATACACAATTTATAAAATGAGGGTACACTTAAGCCCTGAATATACCTCCGCCTCCCACGGCCCTCCCTGGCTCCTTCCTTCCTTCTCTCCTTTGTTCCTGGTGTCTTTATCAGCTGAGATCACCAGTTAGGTGGCTGCTGTGCCCGAGCTCTAGCCAGTGGAAAGGCAGCTCGGAAACCACAGCACCGAGGGAGGACCCCCAGCTCCCTCACCTGAGCTGGCACCCCTGTGGACTTCGGCTCTTCCCCAGGCAGCCAGAATTGTGCATCAGTGCAGGACCCGGAGGTGGCCAGGGCACCTCAACTGAAGGCAGCAGATCAGACCCGCGGGGCTGGCTCAGCACTGACGAAGCCAATGGGTGGTGAAGTGTGCTGGGAGCCAAGGGAGGGTTTTGAAGTGACTCTTGGCATTCGGGCTTTCACTGTGATACTTTCTGAAAAAAAAAAAAAGAGAGAGAGGGTGGCTGTTGGTACCTGGAGTCTGCCCCCTCCAGGCAGGGTGATTTATGTTAAATTTAATGTTCATATATTTTTCTTTAAAAATACGGTACCTTATGGGCAGGAATTAAAATGTTCACTGTGGCTTTTCACAAAGGAAAGAAACACGAGTTAGGAAACTGACCCTGGGGCCGAACCTCCTGCCTATAACCTTCTCAAGGCCTCGCCAGCCTACGAGGGTGCCGTGAACCTCAGGTTTATGCAGTGGGTAATCTGCCAGAACTGTGGAACACACCATGGGCTCAGACATCCACCATTTGCATATAAATAAAAAGCTCAGATCCACACGGCTGCAAAATTTCTATGTTTTTCATACAATTTTCACTAAATTAGCCTTTTAGAATATCTTTGACATGTAGATTGATTGTTTTTCTTCCTATTTCAACTAAGAAAATTAAATTTTTCCCCCACAGAAATAGCTACATGAGCTGATGGAAGTCAGTAGAAACGTTCCTTACTAAACACTGGGCAAACAGAGGACCCTGGGCTGAAGACCTGGCTCCCAGATGGTGCTGTCCATCCAGACCTGAGTCCATGGAGGGGCTCCCCACCCCTCAGATCCCAGCCAACCATCCACCAGGGACCCCCAAATCCCATGCTGAGCCTCTCCTCTGGTTAGCTCTCTAGGGATCTCTGGCTAGAAAACTTGTAGCGCAAGGCTGCTCCCCAGTGTGGGGCTCCCACTCCTGTTGTGGCCCTTAGCTCCTCGAGTCCGAGGCGGTCTCTGGGATGCTTCTTCACGTTCCCACACTGGTCTTCTGCCTGTGCTATAAACACTGTGGCTTTAACTAACACAAACATGCCTTCTTGCTCTTTGGCTTTGTGGGTCCAAAGCCAGGGGACATGTTCTGCCCTGCTGCCCTGAGCTCTTCTTTGCAGCCTGAGAGGGACCCACTTTTACTCCTACACATTGTTGGCAGGAACTAGTTCTTTGGAGTCACCGTGGGCAGTTGGCTGGACCTCTCTCAGCTCCCTACAGCACTGGGTCCCTCCTACTCTGATGTTGCTGTTTCTTCTGGCCCAAACTCAAGAACATTGCTGCGTTGGGGCGCGGTGACACTGATCCCTCACAGGAGGCTGAAGGTCCTGTCTCCGTCTTGGCATTGCAACCCTTAACTACATGTGCAGAGTTCCTTTTGTCACTGAATGTTTGTATTCCCAGATCCTGGAGACCAGGGCAGGGGTACTGGGTGGGCCCTCTCACACTGCCACAGACAGCTCAGCACTCAGGCCCTCCTTGGTCAGCGCCACATATGCCCAAGCACTTACATTCTGGATGCCATCCATCTAGCTCAGCTCCCAGCAGAGTTGTTTGCAGAAACCCAAGCCAGACTAGGAGGACCTCTTCTTTCACTGCCAGAGGCCCTGGACACCCTGGAGTTGCAGTCCCAAGGGGTGAGGAGACTGCGGGCTCTCAGTCCATCCTGCTACCATTCCTGGGGGTGCTGACTTCAGGGCACAGCTTCTACTCAGCAGCGATGATCTCTCGTCCTGTCAAGCAGTCTGGGGTCAGAGGCCTCTGCCAAAGGAACTGAGCCTCTCCTCTGGTTAGCTCTCTAGGGATCTCTGGCTAGAAAACTCCCCCTACCTGGGAAAGTGATCACCTGCACCCATTGGATGCGCTCAGGGACAGGAGACAAGTTAGGAGAAGCCATAAAACACATGCGTCTTCCACCTGGGAAGTGGCCCAGTTTTGCCTCTCTGGGAAAACCTGCCTGGCTGCACAGCTCTTTAGGAGCCACCACTGCGAGGGCAGAGCCAAGGTTTGTTCTTATGCAGCTCCTGAGCCACAGGGAGAGGACTGGCTTCCCAGGAAGTCAGCACAGGGGTGATTTTGCTGTGGAGTACAAGTGGCATCTCTATTCCTTTCTTGCCTTGCCTTAGGGACGCTTTACCATCTCTGACACCCGCCACATAGAGAGGTGAGGTTTGTTTTCAGTCCATGGTCCTCGGGCTTTGAGAAAGAAGGAAGGCCTGGTGGAAAGGCCTGGTGGAGGGACGCCGCTTGCATCATGGTGTCAGGAAGTGGAGACAGAGGAGAGGAGCCAGGGAGGGACAGCGCTGTCCCCCTTGGAGCAGCAAATCAGCTGCAGACCCCTCAGTCCTGTCACCCCTGTGGCCTGCTTCTCCAAGACCTACTCCCTCACAAGTGTCACGGAGAGCTTTGGTGGACACTGCCGAAGGTCAGGCAGGGCCAGGGAGCACTTCCACTCTCTGCATCCGCCACGTGAGTTACTATCCTGGCAGGATGCATGTAGGGGAAGGCACTTGTGTGGTGGGGAGATGCTGAGCCATGGTAGTGAAGTCGTGGGCTTCTTTCTAGGCTCTGGGCAGTTTCCCCCAAATAATTATTATACGGAATTTATGTTTATTGAAAATATAACTTAGAGATCCACGAATCACAGGTCCAGAGACATTTTCTTGGTATGGGAAATGCTGATGGCGCCATTCAGGTAGCACAGGAGGGAGCAGAGCTCCATCTGTGGCATCTCCGTGTGTGGAAGCCCTGCGGCAGAGCAGCCAGAGATTTAAATCGTGGTTATCTCAGCGCAGAGGAACTGAGAGCTTCTGCATCTTCTCAATTCCTTGTATCACATGCCCTTGCTCAAACAATGGACACATAGTGCTTCTGATTAGCAAGAATACATGCTCAGCTTTATACAAGGATGAAGGACGTCATGGGTGTCCACAGTTGGGGTTTGTATGGGGCCCCAGTGTGTGCCAAGCAGGACCCCTGGATCCAGCACCTCCGCCCCCACCAGGTCTCTTCTCCTCTGCGTCTCCACCCACCCCACTTTCCTCCTCTTCCTCTGAGGAACACAGCTCTCCTATTGAGTCGGCCCCATAAATCAGGAAAGAAAAGATATACAAAGCCCACAAACTGTGAAAATTGTTCCCCCCAGAAAAAGACACTCCGCTAACCCTGCAGGAGCCTGCATCACCACCCCCTGCTCCTCGATCCAAGCCTTGTGAGCTAAGTTTTATGGTCTGTAGGCTTCGGCAGATATGGCCTCTGGTTCCAGACTCCCCGACGCAGGTTAGGGCATTGACAGGTGCCTTCTAGGCTTGGTCTTGCTGAATGTGGGGTGTTTGGCTTGTTCCAGGAGCATGGCCCCTCTGGGAGCACAGGGCAGTGTGCTGAGCTAGCCAGGATGTTTCCCAGGCAGGGAGGACACCCAGTTTGACAAGAAGGGCTCCTTGGGCGCCCCTGGTGCAAGCTCGCCTGGTGTTCACCTAGGAGACATCGTGCAGAAGATGAAGATGCTAATTACACTCTATTCCATGCTGAGCTTAGCAGCAAGCTCTCAGCCCGCAAGGAGGGCGTCCCAGTTCCTCTGCGTCTCCCGTCTGTGATGATGCCTGTGTTCAATGCTGCCTGTGGCTAATGAGTTGAATCCAAAGAACATTAAGTCAGGACTCTCACACAAAAGCAAAACAAGTACTGGAAGACTCTAGAAGGACCAGCCTGCAGTGTTTGTCCAGCTGTTCCAGGTTCTTCCCCAGGTCCACACGCCTTGCCATGTGTGTGTGTCAGAGGCTGCATGGGATGCCGCTACGAGAAATTACTTTCCGTTGAGCAGAATGAATTCTGCCATGAATTATGCATCCACCCGTGGAAGCTACAAAACCTAAAAGAACAAATAAGCAAATGTCAATTCTGAGTTTTCCTCAAAGAGTGCTCTGACTTGAAGCACACTTTAGACAGAGACAGTGTTAAGCATTCTCTTAAATGTCAAAGAATGTGAAGTCTACACACCTGTAAATCCCTCACTCCTCTCTCTGTCTCTCGGTCTCTCTGTCTCTCTGTCTCTCTCTCTCATTCTTTCTGTCTCTCTCTCTCTCTCTCTCTTTCTCCCTGTCTCTCTCTGTGTCTCTCTCTCCCCCAGAACCCCATGTAGTATTCATGAAGCTCAGCATAAGTTAATGAGCTTGGAAAATCCAGTCATCTTCGTTCCATGAACTCTAAATGTGAAGCCTCATTTTGCCAGCCCTGACTTATGAGCTAAATTATTCCCCATCAGCAGCTCAGAACAAGGCTGAGAATTCATTTTATCCATAATGGGTTATCTAGGACTTGCTACAAATAATTATATTAAACTCATCTTCATGCGGAGCAGGGAGGAACTTAATTCTCAGTTCTCCATTCTGCTGGGCATACGGGAGTGGAAATGCTTCTCCATGTTGGAAAGATGTTTATGAACTTAGGCTGAGCAGTCAGGATGCCACGCACTATCTTCCTGATCTTGCTTTTTCTGATGCAAAGTTTCACTGACTTGAGCTCTGCTGGTCAGGAAAGTTGCCTGTGGGTCAGTGAGCTGCAGGGTTTCCCAGGGAAGCTCCATCCTGGAGGACAAACTGCTGGGCTCCACGTAGGCTGAGCTGACTGCACCTGTATCCATGCCCACCTAGCCAATTGCATCCTGTGGTTTTCTGTCCCAGGAGCAGCTGAACCTGTGGCCCTTCAGGGTCTTGCTGGGCAGAGCCTGGGGACAAGAAGGTGAGAACCAGGAATCAGGTTAAATCCCACACAGGGCAGCTTCCCTGTGATGAAGGTGACCAGTAAGCATATCTAAAAGGTGCCGACAAACTGAATTCAGTAAAGGAGAGGGCGTTTGCCTGGAGGAGCCTGTCTGCCCCTGATTCCTTTTCCTGGAAGGGCTGCAGGTTTATTTCTGTAGTTTAAACTACAGGGGTTAGAGCAGCATCCAGCTGTGTAGCTGCATCCACCATCATGGTGTGGAAGATAAATGTCACTTTTCTGGCCCTTTCCTGTCTATTTGTACTCAATGTATAACTCACTGCCAGGCCCCGCAATCACAGATAAGCTTTTTGTCCCTAAAAAAAGTTGTACCTCTGCCAGAGCCACTCCTAAGTGAGCTCTAAAGCAAGTAGCTTTTGGATCTGCCCTTCTTTAACACAGCGAAAAGGTACCCATGGTACCTTTGATACTTTTGAGTACTATTCCATTTTGCACACTGCAGTTATCAGGTGAGGGTCCCTTGAACAGTTCTCAGGCTTGGGTGATTACCCATAAAGCCACTGCAAAGGTCCACTCAGAGGTTTTGTTAGGATCACATATTTTCATTTTTTTAGGTGAATGTCTAAGTTGCCAGTGCTGGGCTACACGACGAGCATGTGTTGGGCTCTACCAGAAAACACCAAAGCATTTCCCAGAATGCCTGTGCTCTGCACACCTCAGCAGTTGCTGAAGCCCTGGCTGCCCCAGGTCCCCGGCACTTGGAGCTCTGAAGCAGGAGCAGTGAGCTTTGCTCTCCTCTCGTGACAAGGGGCTCATTTCATCTCCTAGCTGCATCTTTTTTTATCAAGATGTCTAGATATTTTGCCTGCTTTTATTAGGGATCTTATTTCCCTATTATTGGATGTTATGAGTTTTTAGTATGATAGGCATGTAAATCATTTCAAATATGCTTTGGGAAACAGATCCTCCCAGTCTAGGGTTTGCCTGTTCATGTTCTTCCTAAAGAAAGAAAAAAAGAGTTACAATGGATGTTTTTTTTTTTTCTCTTTTTTGGATCACACTTTTGGTACTTATCTCTGAAATATCTACCAACCTGAAGATCACAAAGACTTTGTTGTTAGGTTTTATATCTGAGCGATTAAATATGACTGTAAAATATGACTGTAAAAAAGATAAATATAAAATGAATGCAGAGACCATTTTCCTTGGAGGGTCCATGTCCTGTGTATTCATCTTTCCGGGGTGTGATGGGAGTTGTGATCTTGAGTGGGGCTACCAGGCATGGGTTTCCAGTGCTCTCTGGGTGACAGTGTTCCCTCTCCTGCCCAGCAGGGCCAGCATGTCCTTCTCATGTCCCCTGTCCATTTGCATCATCCTCTCAAGCTCACATGTGGCCAGCATCCTTCTGGGCCAAAGTCACAGTATTGCAAATTATCCTGCTGGGCTCTCTGCTGTTGATTTGCAACATAAAGCTGGCTAAAAGCCCCCAACAATAGGCATGCCACAGCCTCTATATTCGATTGCTTTGTAATTTCCTTTTTAAGATTAATCAGTCCATTGCCCTTTGTCTCAGTCTCTGGGCATGAGCAAAATGCAGACAAACTTTCTGCCAAGCCATAACACACATCATGGGGAGTCCAACAACCAATGCCGTCCTTCTTCCCTGCAGAAACCTCCCAAGCCTGGTCTTTACCATCAGGCTTTCTATCAGCCTTCTGGTCTCCTGAGCTCTGACCAGAATCTCCTCTACAGAACAGCCTATGCTGCTCCAGCTTTATGCATCCAGGAGACATGTCCAAATCTTTCCAAACCCTGCCCACAAGCCATTTCCAAAGCCTCTTGAAAAACATGGCCAGGTATAGCACAGCAAATGACCCCACTCCTCGGTACCAAATTCTGTCTTAGTTACTTTTTACTCCTCACTGAGACAAAATACCTAAAGCCCAAAGTTGAGAAAGGAAAGGTTTATTTCTTACAGTTTTTGGAGGTTTCAGTCCATACTCAGTTGGCTCCAAGGCAGGCTGGCATGGTGGGGCCACAGTTCATGGTGGCTGCAAACAGCAAGGCTGAAATCAGCAAAAGAGCAAGCACCTTCTTCCTGCCATTACATCACATCCTGGCTCCACCCCGATGTGGGTGGAGCACTCACACCATCAATCCAAGCACTAGACAATGAACCATCACAAATGCACAATGCAAACTCATGAGGCCTGGGACCACAGACATAAACCATGACAGGAAGGATTCTGCCATTATTTCTGTTAACAGGTTTTTTATGTAGTTGCTGCTGTCTCCTGTGTTTTCCTTGGCTCCCTTCATTATTATCTTTCTCTTTGTATCATCTCGCATCTGTGTGGTTGATTTGTCGTGGTCCCTTGCCAATTTTAAGTAATCTTTCTTTCCATCATCACTGCCTGCTGCTCTGTCTTGCAGATGGGCCGTTTTTCCTCATATAGCTCACTGTGCTGCCTGTAATTTCAATAGAGCTCTTAATCTCCTAGATATCAGTACATTCTCTGGATTCCCCTTGTTTCTTATGTTGGACATGCACGGCTTCCGTCGTTTCCCTAAGCTCCTCTACTCTTTAATCTATGTCTCCTCTAGATTCACCAATCACGCCCTTCATTATGGCCACCATCTCTGAGGTTATCTGAGAAACTGCTTCCTATTTGATTTTTCCAGAACCTCATTCATCTGCTTTGTCACTTCCACTATTACGGTGTCACAGAGTCCAGGAGGGTGGCTTTTGGATTGTTCTCCTCATTGTCCCCGGGTTTGCCTTTGGTGAGCTGGAAGTCTGGGGCTGCATCTTGCTTCTGTGTCTGTTCATTTTCTATTTTTCAGCTTAATTGCTGCACTGATGTTTGTAAATGATTTGTGGAAGGTGTGTTTATTGCTAGCACTGAGAACCTTTAGGAACTGACTACTTCTCTGAGACCTCTTTCGGGTGTAGCTGGCTCTTGGCCTCTGAGTCTGTTGCAAGCTCCCACCTCGTCAGCTGATGGGGGAGGAGGAGTGGCTGCCCACTGGCCCAGCCCCTGGTTCTCAGGCCCTGGCCTGTAGTACTGTCTATGACCCTCAGGCTGTCTCAGTCTCGGCACACCAGGAAGGAAGACTGACTAGAGCAATTGTGTCGACTTGGCTGAAATAGTGCCGTAAGTAATAACGATGGCATCAAGCACCCTAAAAACGACAACCTGTGGTGACTGTTAATTTTCCATCTCTAACCATGTCCACGGGATTTGGAGTTATATAACCAAACCTAAGACAAACCAGCAGATCGTGTACAGTAAATATTCCTCAATATGGTCATTTCACACTCCAGGGAGAAAACTTAAAAAGAACTAGGAGGGAAATAGAGAAATAGAAGGAGGGAAGCTGGTTAGAAGCCAGGCTGGAGCACAGCGGAAGATTATTCAAGCTTTGGGAACAGGTGAAGAAGACGGGAGGGAAAGAAAGAAGAAACCAGAACAGAACAAAACAAACATCTAGAAACCATGTTCTCAGCTGTAAAAAATAAGAAAAATCAAAAAATGCACAGAGAGCAAAACATTTTACAACTAAAAAGCAAAAAAATTTTTACAACTAAAAAGTTGATTTTTACAACTAAAAAGTTTAAAAAGCAGAAAAAGTACCCACTTCTGTGTATGCCTATGATGTCACTGGTAGACAGAGTGGACAGACAGAGCCCAGAACCGTGATGGTGGGTCCCGGAAAGCCGCAGTAGAATTATGGAGCTTGTGCATAATCCCAGCACAACTGACCTTTAGTTCCACTGAAGTCCAGGCTGCCTCTGTTGTCCAGCTGTGAGGCTGGAACCCAAGTTTTTCATCCCTAAACCCTGAGTGCCTCCTGCCAACCTGGACTTGGCTCGCTGAGCCCCTGCTGGCTTGGCAGGTACCCCTCACCCTGACACTTGGAGCTGCTGGACAGAGCCAGCCCGCAGTGCTCTGCATGCTGACTTCTGTTGGCCCCTTCCAAGATGGCAACCAGCCCATCGGCCTTCCCTGGGGAGTGTCTGAACCCGAATAACTGAGCGGCTACTGCAGTCCACAGTGCCCACTGCTCCACCCCACAGGTGCATTTCTCCCTGGTGGTTTCCGGAGACTCCAATAGTCACCTTGCTTCTGTAGGTCTAAGCTGCTCTACCCACAACTCCAGCCGGTGAAAGGAAGAAAGCACCACCTGCCACCTCCATTCCCGCACTGAAGTTGCTCTCTCCACTGTCCCTATGGGCTCTAATTCTCATTCAGATCCTGGCTGGGTCCCAGGGACCCACTCCTTTCTCCCCTCCTCTTCCTCATCTTGCTATGCTCCATCATCTGAATTCCAAATGCCAGAGAGGGTCTTCTCACCACTCCGCCGCCTCCCTGGAGGTCTGGTGTAAATAATTTCAAAAGCAAAATGAAAGATGGATGGCAGGAAACAGGACAGTAGGCCTTATGCGATGAGGCGGGGTCCCAGGATGGAGGGAGAGAAGCGGAAGGTGACGGAAAGAAAATGATTAAAGTGAAACATGGGCGTGCACCAAACCCTTGGAGTGAACACATTGCTCACCATGTACTAACAATAAAGAAGGCCGGCCAGTGGGCTGGGCCACCCTCGTGTCTGGGCCTCACGGGTCCACCTGCCGGAGGAGGACCACAGTCCTTGTGCCTTCTTCCCTACCTGGACAATGGAGACTGACCCTCCTGTTTTCCCAATAGATTGCATGGCCAGGAAATAATACTCAGTCCTTTGGAATGATGCTCCCCAAAGGAATGCATGCAGCTGTTTGTGCCCAGGGTCGCAGCCTTGCTTCTTACAAGAAAGAGCCACGTCATCTGGGTCACGGAGGAAGCTGCGGCTGGATTATCTGTGACCACAGGTCAGGAGCCCTCTGTTGTGAAAATAGTCTTTTCTATTAGGGAATATAAAGCCTTCCTCACTCTGTGGTGTCAGGTTATAGGGGAGCCACAGAAGAAGTTTATCCAGCAAAAATGTCTTGGACTAGTTTAAGGAAGGAGTGATCAGTGCTTAAGTCAGTCTTTATTCTGGTTTTCCTGCTGGTGCAGCTGTCACCAACCACATTTAGACAACAGAAGAGGACAGACAGCTTTGGGGGACCCTAGTTATTATCTGGAGCAAAGTTCTGTGGACTGTTTTGAGCTGTGCTTTTGGCAAATAGCCACATGATGTTTGTGGCTGAAGGGAATAAAGATGGGGCAGACTTGGGATTCCTGCAGGAGCTGAGCAAACTTTGGTCCAGCAGTGAGCCCAGGAAGCAGCTGGAATCGGGGACAGCAGGGTGGGAAACCCCAGCTGCACACACTGGTGGTGCCTGGGGGCCCAAGGGACAGGGGCCACCCAGGAGCTAGCTTAGAGTGTGGGTAGCACACGGACAAGAGTGGGGGCAGCTTGGCCACTGGGCCCTCCTGCTCCATCCATGACTTCTATGCAAAGTGGGAAGATATCAAAAAGCTATTACAAAATAAATGGACAAGTCAATGGGGCCTAACCATGCAGTTAAAATGCTTCTGGGTTAGGCTCTGGTTTTGAACAGCAGAGGCTGTGAGGCAAATGTGCAGGGGTTTAGACAGAGGAATTAAATAAAAGCAGCACTGCCATGGACGGGAAGTGATGCTGCTTCTGTAGAATGCTTGTTAACAAGAAGACAACTAAAGACTAAGTTTTTCTTTTTTTTTTCTTTTTTTTTTATTTTATTTAAGGAGAAAAGAAAAAAAAAAGCAGAGAGAGGGTACAAGTTATACAGATTTGCAGAAAAAAAATGAACAGTAGGAAATCACTAGTTAATGGACTACATACTGTCATCTTAGAAATAATTGTTCAAGTCACAAAATTAAAGCTTGTAAAGTGGACATTCCATCAATGATACTGCAAACAGTTCTGTTCAATGATCCAATAAAACTCTGTGATATCATATTCTATCTTATACACTTAAATATACATGCAGTTATATAGTTTAGAGCACTTTCTTTTCCTCTCTTTTGTACAATGACTATTACACATTTTGGGTTTCATTGCTCTCACGGTTCTTATTACTTTTTTGGAAGAGAGTAAAACCAAATGTGACATAACAGAACAGAATCGGTCAAATCAAAAGGGTGGACATAATAGATAATGTGAAAACATAACACAAGGTAATCAACAATGGTTACCATAATGCCTCCCGCTATCTCTAATAGAATTGCCTATACCATTAGTTATAATACAATTGAACAAAACAGTAAAGAACAAAACTGACAAAGCCAAACCATTGGAGACATTGTAGGTCTTCAAAAGTAGATAAAAGTCAACGAGAATGGGCGTTATAATGAATCTCATTATCTTCACAGCTGATGCCTAAATTTTCGAACCTGATACTATCCAGCAAAACAGAATAGGGGAACATCAGTTAAAAACCAGATGGTGAGAGTAACACAGGGCTTTAAATCGAGGTAATGGAAAGTCAAAGTGGGTTACTATAATATATCCTGCTATTTTTTTCCCTTTAATTAAAAGGATAAAAATTTTAAAAAAAGTATTAAAAAAGTAAATAATGGAGTGGAGATTGAGATAAAAGAGGGCATAACAACGAAACAGCACAGATCAAAACATAACCATTTAAGCAGAATAGTGTTTCACCACCAGATAATCCTGACCTAAAAGTAGTTACCATATTGTCTCTTTCCTTGAAATCCTTGAGTACAACTTCGTATACTGTAGCATTAAGTATACCAAACAATGTAAAACCATTCAAGAGAATGACAGCATTACAGAGTATTTAGAATCGACTAACAGAAAATGAATAATGGTTTCTGTATAATCTCCTTGTCTTTAAAAGGTTTTTGCTTATACTATTGTACATAATAAAATCCAGCAAGATACAACCTATTTAGACCATTGGAGACAGAAGGACAAAAGCTAGATGAGACTTCAAAACAAGATGATACTAAATTAGTACTACCTATTAAGATGTCATTTTCTCCAAAATAGCTGTTCCTATCATCCAATCTTCTCTGCCTCATTTTTGTTGAGCTCTTATTCTGTCAGTAGCTGTCAGTTTGTCTTCTTCACTTTATTCTCTG